ATGGGGATGTGGTGCATTTAAATGTGTGGCCGGCCACTCCTTCCTGTATAGTTTTGGATGTAGTGGGGAAGAGTTAGAACCCCTGTCTGGTGTATCCTCTCTGGGGAGATTCACCATCTCTACTGTATTTGTGCTAAGGATCATTGTCCCTGAGACAGAAATTGACGGGAAATCTAACCTTTTAGAACTGGCATCAAAAACAAGAGATGTGATTTCCTGACTTTTTTGTTTTGTCTACATGACAGGCAATAAAGGAAATCTCCCCACTGAGGCACAGACAGGAAAAAAATAAACTGACATGGGTTTTAATTCTTTCTCCTATCCACAACTAAAAAAAACAAACAAAAAATAGTAGTTCAATTTCATCTTAATAGACTAAGCCTTTAAAGAAAAGGTATGGGCAAACCTTTTTTACTATACTTTCCGTTTGGGTTACAGGATCCGCGCCTGTCCCCATCCCAGCCTGTCGCTCTAGTGCAGGGGTGGCGAACACGCGGCTCTCGAGCCGCGTGCGGCTCCCGGCCAAAATGAATGCGGCTCTTTGCCTCTTATCATATTTTGTATACTGTGGCTCTTTGCCAAGTTTCATCTTTCTTTGGGGAGGTGGGGAGCGGGTACCTGAATTTGACAGGTACCCGCTCTTACTACTTTGTTCTTTGTTCTTACCTGTTCCTCTATCCAGCGGCGTGCTGTCTTCCGGCTTCTGTAGTGTGGGCACTGGGCATGACAGCCGGGTGCCAAGTGCGCATGCACAAGAAGCTGTGCTTTTTGTGAATGGTAAGGCGGTACCTGGGACACATGACAGATCCCAGAAGCCGCCGGACCAATCACAAAGCGCAAGTGCTTCTCGCTCATGCGCACTGGGCACCCGGCTGTCATGCCGAGCGCCATTACAGAAGCCGGGAAGACAGCGCGCGGCTGGATCGAGGAACAGGTAAGATCAAACAAAAACTCTGCGGAAGTAAGAGCGGGTACCTGTCAAATTCAGGTACCCACTCCCCACCTCCCCAAAGGTCAGCAGTCATCTGTACTGTCCGCAGTCTCTGGTCATCCCTGTGCTGTCCGCAGTCTCTGGTCATCTCCTGTGCTGTCCGCAGTCTCTGGTCATCTCCTGTACTGTCCGCAGTCTCTGGTCATCCCTGTGCTGTCCGCAGTCTCTGGTCATCCCTGTGCCTTCCGCAGTCTCTGGTCATCCCTGTGCCTTCCGCAGTCTCTGGTCATCTCTGTACTATGTCCGCAGTCTCTGGTCATCCCTGTGCTGTCCGCAGTCTCTGGTCATCTCCTGTACTATGTTCGCAGTCTCTGGTCATCTCCTGTACTATGTCCGCAGTCTCTGGTCATCCCTGTGCTGTCCGCAGTCTCTGGTCATCTCCTGTACTATGTCCGCAGTCTCTGGTCATCTCCTGTACTATGTCCGCAGTCTCTGGTCATCTCCTGTACTGTGTCCGCAGTCTCTGGTCATCTCCTGTACTGTGTCTGCAGTCCATTAGTTCAGAATTTTTTTTTTTCCTGTTTTCTGCCTCTAAAACCTAGGTGCTTCTTGAACACATTGTTGTTTTGTAAGGGGAAGAAAGTGTTATGGTGAATAATATGGTTTTTAATTATGTGTTTTTGTGTGAGTGTTTGTCTGTTTTGGCAGGTCACTGCGTGGTGTGGCTCTCTGACTTTCACAGTTTAAAATTTTGGCTCTTTGTGTCTAACTTGTTCGCCACCCCTGCTCTAGTGCATGCTGGAGGAGCAGAGTGGGTTGCAGTGACTGACATTCAATGTCTTCCACTGTGATCAGACCCAGAGCTGACTGATTAGAAGTCATGTGAAACTTTGTACTCTGTACAACATTGCAGCCACATAACTACACAGACTGTACTTGCACTGTATCAATGAGAACCCAGCTGGATTGAAGTGGCAGGCAGGGCAGTAATCTACAACCTTTTATTGTATGTATTACTGACTCAGCAACATGATGTGTAGGTGGATGTGTGCTGCCATCCTCCAACACTACCAATGTTGACTTTTTTGCTTTAAGACATCACATTCAACTGGTATGTACCTTTTGGGTTACAAAGCCACTCCTCTTATTACTTTGAATTTGAACGGATGACTCCGTACAACTGTATAGCTATGACTGTGCTAAAAATCTAAGTGTAATCATGGGGTATTGACTATTCTAGGGGACATATTTATAAAGGATTTGTGACACATTCACTGAGTAATATTTGTTCTGTTTAAAACATATCTGCTTGGTTAAAAAAAAAAAAAAAAAACATTCACCAGCAAACACATTCTCTTGATTCGGAAAAGGTGGGTATTGTTATATTTTGCCTGTTGTAACTGTGATTGTTGCATTTTTTTTGCACATGCTCTGGCCAAAATACCCTATTTAATTCCCCCCCCCCCAAAAAAAAAAAAAAACACTGTGATTGTCTATGGAGAGCCATGTAAAATAATAAGGAAACTGTGTTAATGCTTTTTTTGTCAACTTAATTTTTAACGTTAAGAACTAAGGAGGTTAATGCCCCTCTTCCCTTCTAAAGCTCCAGGCATTACGGCTGATATCCCCAAAAAGATGGCGAAGAATGTGCTCATCCTTTTGCCATTCTGATTCCAGCCTCCATGCTTGCAGTTCAAAGTGACTAGTGTCATTTTTTGGAGAATAAAAGATGAAGCCTGATTTTTAACTATGGTCTCCAATTTATATTTCCAGTAGTGGCCACTAGGTGTTGAATTGTACATATGAACACATTGGGGTTGATTTACCTAAATGCACAATGATCGTGCACTTTGCAAGTGCAGTTTTGGTGAAGCACTGCTGATTTCCATCATCCAATCGTGCAAGCAAAAATGCTGTTTTTTTTTTTTTTTTTTTTCCCTTGCACCTGATTGGGTATTCTGTTAAGTGAAGCTTCACCACATCCATTAACCTCTGGGGAGAATGTGCAGTTCCAAAGTGCACGGTCTATTTGTCATTAGTAAATGAACCACAATGATTATACCAATTCACAATATAGAATTGTTCAGTTTTGGTTTATCTTAAAGGAGATCCTTCCTGACACCAAAATGGGCAACTGCCATTGCAGCTTCTTCTGAAAATGCTAGGTACTTTTTCATTTGCAGACTAAGCACAACCACAACAAAATTAAATCTGAATTCTAAATGTATATTCCTGTTCCAGGTCAGTGACTGAAATTATTGAAGCTAGGGATAGATACACTGTACAAATTTTGTCCGATTCCTAGAAGATGCAGCCACTGTTCGAGTTTTTGGAAATTTGTAAAGAAATAATAGTCACAGTGGGAGGTGTGTCAATCTGTGCTGTGTTTCGTAGATAGATTAATCTTTTTTTTTTTTTTTTTTTTTTTTATTCAGCCTGTAAAAAAAACAAAACAAAAAAACAATCCATGTATGGCAAGATTTACTATAGCACAGCTAGTATTTGCAGAATGAGAATGCAACGATGGCAGCCTTCTTGTTTCTTCAGGGAAAGTTTTCTTTATTGTAGAATCCTTTTCTATACTAAATTGTTTTTGTAGTTTTTACTAGCAGGGCATTTTGATTTCTAAGGCCCCTTTCACACTATCAGTCTGATCGGGTCCGTCTGTCTATTTTTCAGGCGGACCTGATCAGACCCTCTCTTTTCCTATATAGAGTAGAGGATGTAAACGGACTTGGTGTGGTGTCGACCTACATCCAATCTGATCCACTCCACTAAAAAAAATTGAAGGGGGTCCCTTCCATTGATCAGATTGGAGGGCAGTCGGTTGATATGAAAAATGTTGAATTCACTACAGGTTTATGTGGTAACAAACACTTGGTAACTACCGCATAATACCTACTGCTTTTTTTTTTTTAATAAAGGACTTGTCAAAAACTGTAAGTCTATCTGTGTACCCCATACTCATTCACACGGGGGGGGGAGCAGAATCTGGGACCCCCTTGTTGAATGGGTCTTCCAGGTTTCGATAAGTTACCCCATCACCCTCGCAATCACTGGGCCAGGGATGTGGGGAAGAGGTCCTTGTCCTCATCAACAAGGAGACAAGGTGCCTTGGAGGGGAGGTCCCCCCCCAAAGCACCCCCCCACCTTGTTGAGGGTGCTTGCTAGTCCCCCCCCCCCCCCCCCCACCACCTTTTTTTTTTTTTTCTTTTAACTGTCGACTTTTTATTTACATTCAGCTGTCAGCAAGGAATCCCACGCTGACAGCAGGGATTAATCATGGTTGTTAGGGCTCCAGCAGGTGCTGACTCCTTAACAACCAGTAGCTCTGAGCTCAACTGTCCTATTTAGCAGTGGTAGGAATATGACTGCTAAATGTTTATTTCCTGCTGCAACCTGTCTGTGGTAAATAATGCACAAAACCAAGCGTTAAAAATAACAAAATTTGTAAAACTTAACTCATGCAGTAATTAACATGCATTGTATCATGAATTTCATGTTCAGAAGTTAAATACCGGATGCGCTGTTTACCTCTTGGTGAATTGACCCCTATGAATCTTCAACGTTCAGTATTTTCAGCTCATTCATTGTGCTTTGTGTATGCAGTGAAATAGTTGATTTTTTTTTGTCCCTATAGGAAAGACATTGCATGCTGAAATATAGGTTGACTTTGCATCCATAGTATAATTGTTACAAGCAGTGTCAAAGTTGGTCACCTCATTTGCTCTATGGCTGGATCAACATGCAGTGTCTTATTTGAAGCCATATTTACTGACGCAGTAATTTCTATAATTTCATAGAATATATGTTCTGATATTTCTGATGATGGAACACATGATTATGCTGTACCAAGAACTTATTTTCTAATCAAGCTGTGAGTGTGTGGGAAAGTACAAAGTTAATGGCTTTCACAGTTTGTTTAAATGTGAAACTTTTATGCATACGGAGATGATACGTTAATAAAAAAAATGTTAGCCTTGATTTGTTTTGTATGCTTGTACTTACAGTTTTCATTGTGTTTTCGGTTTAGACAGCAGAAAAATCAGGACAAATGGAAAAACAGAGAAAAAATGTAAAACAAAGGCCAAATGATTTCAAGGTAAGGTAACTACCATAGTGTACTGGAGGTGTTCTGACACCATGCTCTTTCTAACAATATGTGTGAATGAAGTTTGTACTCTGGCCATTTTTGGAATATACTAAAGTGATATGTTGGTCAGCTGAGTCTTGCTAAATGAAGTACCAAATGATTGCAGATAGTTTAAATGTTACTAGAATAACTTCAGGTATAAAACTAATGCCAAAGTAATCTCTCTCCATTTTTCTATTGTTGAAGGAGGAAAGTGACGTAAAGCTTTTGTATTCTATTTTTGTTCCTCGGTTGTGTATCACCGCACTAGCCATACTGTCATTAGAACCTCCCTTTGTTCTTATTTTGGTGTCATCCTTCTATGCTCTCCTCTCCTGAGCTTTTCCTTGTTAATATACTTATGTATATTTTGTCATTTGTCATTTTTTTTTTCTTTATTTTTGCTCTAGAAAATGATTCAGGAAGTGATGCAGTCCCTTGTGAAGCTCATCCGCGGAGCCTTGCTCCCATTTACTATTAGTGAAGAGGACTTAAAGCAGTATGGTGGCTGGGAGTTAAAGAGTGAACTGTCTGGGCCCTGGTTAGCTCATGTTGTCAAGACTGTCAGGTATGGAAGAACCAATGGTTAAAATCAAGTCATATTTTTTCCTGTTCAGATTATGGTTTCCAAACCAGTGGTACATGTGCCCCTAGTAATATTTATAAAAGTTTCTAGGGTACATCTAAATGTTCAATTACATTCAGCAGTTTAAAGATTTTATAATTTACCTCATGCCGCCCAGCCACTGTATTAAAACGGTGGCAGGGCGGCACGGCTGCGCAAAAGCATGTTTTTGAAACGTGCTCTGCGCTCCTGAGGTTTTCGCGGGCAGGGGGGCACGCCCCCGCCGACCCACAGCTGTTACCATTTGATCCCCGAGGGATCAATCATTCGGTTTCAGCCAGTGATGTCCGGCTGAAATCGGATGATCGGTCCCAGTCCTATCCTGTCCTGTGTTGACATTTACACAGGACAGGATATGATATCATTCTTCTCTGCCTGAAGACACAGTAAACATGAGTAAAGCACTACACATTTACAGTTAGCACACACCTAGGTCACATTTAACCCCCTGATCACCCCCCCCCCCCCCCGTTAACCCCTTCACTGCCCTGTCACCAGTGTCACTGATCACAGTGAACAGATTTTTACTGATCACTGTATCAGTGTCGCTGGCGACTTCCAATAGTGTTAGCGCCCCTCCCAGATAGCGCCAGTTTGCCCGCTAGTACACCAGTAATCCCATTTAAACCCCTTGATCGCCCCCCCCCCCCCCAATTAAACCCCTTCACTGCCCTGTCACCAGTGTCATTGATTACAGTGAACAGATTTTTACTGATCACTGTATTAGTGTCACTGGTGACGTCCGATAGTGTTAGCGTCAGCGCCCCTCCCAGATAGCGTCAGATTGCCGCTAGTACACCATTAATCACATTTGACCCCTTGATTGCCAGGAACACGCTCACTTGCACGCTAAACCTCCATTGCTAGCATAGTGTCTGATTGGATCAATATCTTTGATCAGATCAGCACTATACCAGCGTTCACATTACTATATGTAAATGCAGTGTTAGCGGGATCAGCCCCGACACCTGCCAGCACCTGCGTTTAGCCCCTACGCCCCCCTTCTCCCCCAGCAAGTGCAGTGTCAGTAGATAACTGTCACTTGATACATTACACACAAAACTGCAGTGTTCACAGAATCAGGCCTGATCTCTGTTAGAACTTGTCAGTAAATTTTTTGTAGCGGTTCAAGCAGTCCCTGACAGCCAGGCGCTCTTTTTCCCGTGAGTCTCACTAGGTACCTATAAATTTAGTGGCCAAAATGTCCAACCAAAGTTACACTAGTGAAGAGGCCTACAGGATTCTGAGCATGTCAAGTGAGAGCGAAAAAATAAATCTTCCATGGACACAATATGCCTCTCAGCAAATCGCTTAGGGTGTTTACTTTCCGAAAAGGGGTCATTTGGGGGTGTTTGTTCTATCCTGGTATTTTAGCACCTCAAGAAATGTGATGGGCAGTCAGAAAGTAAAAGCTGTGTAAATTTCAAATTATCTATACCATAGTTTGTAGATGCTATAACTTTCACACAAAGCAATCAATATACACTTATTGGGATTTTTTTTTACCAAAAACATGTAGCAGAATACATTTTGGCCTAAATTTATGACGAAATTTTAGATTTTTGGATATTTTTTATGACAGAAATGAAAAAATATTGTTTTTTTTTTTTTAATTTTGGGGGTTTTTTTGTTTATAGCGCAAAAAATAAAAAGCACACAGGTGATCAAATACCAAAAAGAAAGCTCTATTTGTGTGAAAAAAAGGACATAAATTTCATTTATGTACAGTATTGCATGACCGCGCAATTGTCAGTTAAACTAGCGCAGCGCTGTATAGCAAAAAAATGGCATAAATTACAGTATCTATACCATAGTTTGTAGACACTATAACTTTCACACAAAGCAATCAATATACACTTATTGGGATTTTTTTTACCTAAGATATGTAGCAGAATACATTTTGGCCTAAATTTACGACTAACTTTGAATTTACTATATATTTTTTATAGCTAAAAGTAAAATATACAGTTTTTTTTCAAAATTTTCATGTTTTTTTTGTTTATAGCGCAAAAAATAAAAAGCGCACAGGTGATCAAATACCACCAAAAGAAAGCTCTATTTGTGCGAAAAAAAGGACATAAATTTCGTTTATGTACAGCATTGCATGACCGCGGAATTGTCAGTTAAACTAATGCAGCGCTGTATAGCAAAAAAAGGAATAAATTACAGTATCTATACCATAGTTTGTAGACGCTATAACTTTCACACAAAGCAATCAATATACACTCATTGGGATTTTTCTTACCAAAAACATGTAGCAGAATACATTTTGGCTTAAATGTTTTATGACTAACTTTGAGTTTACGATATATTTTTTATAGCTGAAAGTAGAAAATATCAGTTTTTTTCTAAATTTTCGTGTTTTTTTGTTTATAGCGCAAAAAATAAAAAGCGCACAGGTGATAAAATACCACCAAAAGAAAGCTCTATTTGTGTGAAAAAAAGGACGTAAATTTCGTTTGGGTACAGCATTGCACGACCGCGCAATTATCAGTTGAATTAGTGCAGCGCCAAACAGCAAAAAAAGACCTGGTCATTAAGGGGGGTAAATCCTCAGGAGGGCAAGTGGTTAACTAAAATTAGGTCAGCTTTGCTCTCAACTACCCCCACAAGACAGTACTCTTGTTTGCAAGACAGTGCCTGTAAGTATCTTGTTTGTCCGTAGGCTGAAGTACTAAAGCACTGTTGTTTATTTAGCTGGGGCTCTTTTAGGAGGGTGAGTTCTTTATAACATTATTCTTCAAAACTGAACACCAGGAATGCAGCCACTTTGCATTATATGTTGGATTACTATGAGTTAAGTCCAACCAGGTGCATGTCACTTTTGCATTTACAAATAACAATTTGCTGGAACTCTGGGGATTAAACTATCCATTACTATGAAGGCCTTCTGGTTTCAGCTCCTGTAGCTGCAGAGTTTCTTGTAGCTGCTGTGCCCCCTCCTGCCCAAAGACAGAGTGCTTTGTGTTATGTAAATCCATTTACAGAATACAAATTCTTCTGTGAATGGGCAGCAGAAGTGTGGAGTGATGTAAAAATAACAGATAAGTCCATGAGGTGGCATGCACCCTTAGAATGCTTGCATGAATGAAAGTGGCTGAATTCCTTAAGTTGCAAAAATGCTTGCTGTTTATATTTCTCTATGGTTTCAATGAAAAATGTTTCCAATTTTACTGAAAATATACATTAAATGCAAAGGTAAACTGTGTTGTAGAAAGTTTTTTTAAAAAAATTTAACTTTTTGTGTTTTTCAGGCTTAGTTATGAATCTCTGACAGCACTTGAGATCCCCAATGACATGCTGCAATCCATACAAGATCTTATCCTTGATTTACGAGTTCGTTGTGTCATTGTCACCTTACAACATACAGCAGAAGGTAATTGTTTTTCTGTCATGTTAACTATATGTATTGTAGTTGCCAACACTGCATCAAACATTGCAAATTGTAAGTGTCTCGTTCAGGAGAGATCTGTTTTAGATGTCTCTTCCAATTCTACATCCATGTTCAATTGTTTTAATGCCTAGTTCCAGCTAACTCTTGCTAAGTTTTAGATAAAAAGGGTTAGAACCTCTTTCACTGGTGATTGTGTGCATTGGTGATTTCTGCACACTTCTGTGTAGACTCTAGAACAGAATTTAAGCAGTATCTTTCCAAAAGTGAAACATACAACACACTTTAAAAAAAGTTTCCAAAGAACCTCTGTTAAGGTTGTATGGTCACATTAACAGAAAATAAAGGGAGTCCACTCAACCAAAAACTAAAACCTATTTACTTGAATAATAATTTAAATACATTCGGTGCTCATAAGCCTGAAAGTAACAGATTTTTATTTTATTTTATTTTTTTACAGATGCTTTGTATTGAATTTTACATGAATTTTAATTTTTATCATCTACATTTTAATCTATGTATCAGAGTGGTTGTGGGACAGGAGGGCTTTATGATATGTGGCTGATACTCACATTTGCATTGAATATTTGTGAAAGGGAAAATGGCACAGCTAGAAAGTCAGATATTTGACACCAGAAGGCTTAAAGTTGATATGCAGCTTTACATTAATTTTAGATGGTTCATTTGGGTCAAGCTGGCCTAAACTATTTCCAACATTAACATGTGCACCCGCTGGGCGTGCTATATAAAATATATGTAGCCTCAGCTACATACAGTATACACTGTGCTGTGGGTGTAAAACAAGACCTTCCCGTCTCACACATGGAACAAAACTGTGCCTTGTTGATCAGTGCTCAGCCATTCATAGGCAGCTTTGTATTCTATCAGCGAATACAAAACTTCTTTTACTTGGCTGTGTCAGAGAGATGGGCTGATAACATCAAGAAATCCAATTCAGCTAGTCAGAGGAAGCTTTATATTCAAGTTCAGCCTGACTCTATTTTGTTCCAGGTGTGAGGCGGGAAGCTCTTCTTTCATACCTGGAACACAGTGATGTATACTGTATTCAGCTGTTTGGCCCAAAGTAAAGCTGGACCTCAGCTTTAAATATACTGACATTGCCACGTAGCATGAAACAGTCTGCACATACGTTACGTCCTTTAAAACTGTGGTCATGGTCAGAGTTGTCCAAAGCCTTTAGTTTGACATGGGAGTAGTATATTTGGTGAAACCGTTTCATCTGAATCATCTGGTCACGGGAGGAGACTACCAAGGCCAGTAGTGTCCTCAAATTCCTCCCAATTATTGGGTTGTATCTGGAGCACCATAGCAATACATCTCAACCAAATTTTTTGATATCTAGTCACATTCATTTCTAGAAAAAGAATAACAATATCCAGACCCCGGTTTTTGACTGTTTCCTTTACAGGGTCACCTTATCTAGCTTTAGAGTACTAATAAATTGGAGTCAGTGAGAGCTATTTGGGCTTTATTGGCCTGGCGTAGTTGTGCGTAAGTGTATAAGGGGAATAGATTTTGTAAAAATGTTATTCCCGTCACTCCAAAAAGTTTTATTCATAAGGTGCAAATAATTGGTCTGTATATGGTTGCTCCACATAAGGATATTTGGAGAACAATTTATGAGCATGGTGGAGGATACATAAGGAGGTCTTGAGCATGACTGCGTCAGGTAGTGAGGAGACATTGTGTATACTACATAATGGGCTGCAGCTGCTGATTAGTGTGTTTTGACAAAAACAGGAGCTGCTCTGAGAATACAATGTCCCAGCAGGGGAGTTTTCCAACCACCTTCTTTGTGAGGATGGAGGAATATGTTAGTTTTTTTTTTTTCATTCAGCCTGATGGCTGATTGAGAAAAAAAAATAAAAGAAACAACAGTGTATGGCTAGCTTTAGTCCATATGAGTGATCGTTTAGCAATTAATATTTATCTTTAAAATGTGAGATGCAGTGATGTATAGTGCTTCTTTAGATTTCATTCTGGTGTCCTGCACGGAGCAGCTGATATTTTTAAACATGCTGCGGTGACTACTATAATAGGAAAGAAGGAATGTTACAAAATGTTGGGACTTAAAGGGCAAATCCAATTTTGTGGAAAAAAATATGGCAAATTACAAAAAAAAAAATAATATAGCATATACAATTGTAACACAAGTCCTATTGTAATTTAACCACTTGCCGCCCAGCCACCGCATATAAACGGCGGCAGGGCGGTGCTCGTAGGCAAAAGCACGTTTTAAAACGGCTGCCTTCAAAACAGGTAGGGTGTCCCGCGGGTGTCAGCAGCGGGTCTCCGCCGCCAGGTCACGGCCGGTTTTTACCGGCCGTTTTTTCCCGCGATGAGCGGTGATCACTGACACAAAGCAGGGCTGCATTGTTTACACACAGCCCTGCTCTGTGACAGTTCGCCGACAAGCTGCAGAGGGAGAGAAGAGTTTCTCTCCCTCGATCAGCTCCCCCCCCTCCCTCCCCCCTGTCCAGTACACACCCCCGCCCCCTAGTAAAACACTCCCCTTACACAGCAAATTCTAAAAATTTTAACCCCTTCCTCCCCAGTGACATTAGTACAGTTTCAGTGGTTTTTTTTCACTGATCACTGTATTGGTGTCACTGGGGATGTCAGTGACCCCAAGTCAGTCCCCCCCCCAGTCTCAAAATGTCCACCGCAGTCCCGCCATAAGTCGCTGGTCGCCATCATATGTCGCTGATTGCCGCCATATGTCGCTGATCGCTGCCATTATTAGTATAAATAAAAATTAAAAATCCCAGTATCTTTCCCGCCATTTGCAAACTCTATAACTTTCACGTAAACCAATTAATTTACACGTATTGGGGTTTTTTCTTAGCAAAGACATGTCGCAGAATACATTTTGGCAGAAATTTATGACTAAATTTGATTTTTGCATTTTTTTTTACTGGACATGTTTTATAGCAAAAAGTCCAAAATATTTTTTTTTTTTTCCTCAAAATTGTCAGCCTTTTTTTTTTTTAATAGCGCAAAAAATAAAAACCGCACAGGCAATCAAATACCACCGAAAGAAAGCTCAATTTGTGGGAAAAAAGTATGTAAATTTCATTTATGTACCATATTGCATGACCGCGCAATTGTCCGTTAAACTAGCGCAGCGCTGTATAGCAGAAAAATGGCGTAAATTGCAGTATTTATACCATAGTTTGTAGACGCTATAACTTCCACACAAAGCAATCAATATACACTTATTGGGATTTTTTTTTTTACCAAAAACATGGAGCAGAATACATTTTGGCCTAAATTTATAACCAACTTTGAGTTTACTATATATTTTTTATAGCTGAAAGTAAAAAATATTGTTTTTCTTCAAAATTTTTGGCCTTTTTTTGTTTATAGCGTGAAAAATAAAAAGCGCACAGGTGATCAAATTACACCAAAAGAAAGCTCTATTTGTGTGAAAAAAAGGCGTAAATTTCGTTTGGGTGCAGCATTGCATGACCGCGCAATTATCAGTTGAATTAGTGCAGCGCCGAGTAGCAAAAAGAGGCCTGGTCATTAAGGGGGTAAATCCTCAGGAGCTCAAGTGGTTAATGTTATTAAAATCAACATTTCTTTTCAATCTGCAGTGCTGTAATTTTCTGTGAAATTCAATGTAATATGGCAACCTGGAGGCGTTCTGTGCACAGTTGGTGTACGAAACTCCTCCAGAAATGATACTTCCTGCTTGTGTGATTGGCTGACTGATTTTCCCAGAAGTCTGCACTAAGATACAAGTCAGATTTTAGGCATCCACTACAACAAAAATGTAATTTTTGGTGAGATGCTCCTAAAGGGTTAATCACTTCTAAAGGGACGCAGACTTTGCTGCTTTCCTCATTAGAGCCCTGTAAGCGCATCAGGTGATCAGATCATTCCCATTCAGAATCAGAATTAAAAAAAACATAGAAGAACAAAAAGCTTTCTTTCAGAGAACAAGTAGGGCTCTGTTACAAAGTTTGTTAATTTCCATGCAATATAAATTGATCATCCAGAAGGGATAGTTTTTTCATAACAATAGTGGAGTTACTCTTTAAACACATCTCGCCAACCCCTGGTAATTTTGGTAATTTTGTAATGCATGCATTGATGAAGGCCATACCCAGTTAATAGGTGTGATTGGATAATAATCGGGGCCTCTGACTGGTAGGAGTCATTCTACATTGTAAACAGGTACATTGCATAGGGGACACTTTGGAAACCTTGCTTGCTAACCCTCGGTTCACACTTATGCAGATTTCCGTTTTGCAGTTTACAGAAACAGACTACAGTCCATTTAACATAAATTCACTATGGATCTTGTTCACATCTGTGCGTTTTGAGCCAGTGTGGATTTTGAAAGGGTCATGGACTTTTTTTTTCTGCTTCAGATTGCGTTTTTGCATGTAATAGTCTTCAGTGGAACCGCATCAAAAACACATGCATAAATGCGTGTACATTATTATGATTATACATTATTTATATAGTGCCACAATGTTTGCACAGCGCTGTACATTGTAGTGGGGGACAGTACATGAGACAATACAGTATCAAAACAAAACATGAGGGGTTTGAGGGCCCTGCTCTTTCGAGCTTACAGTCTTGTACATGAGTTTTTGGTGCGTTTCCTGCATGACAACAGACACCTCCCTCTAGCAACATTAAACACATCTCAAAAAAACACAAAATGCATTCAAAACATGTCAAAAACGCGTGTGAAAAAATGCAAAATGCACTGAGAAAATGCATCAACCGCAACCTGCATAAGTGTGAACCTAGCCTAGAGGAATGCTTGAATAACTCTCTACAAATACATTTTTCTGAAAAGAACCATTTGCCAGTACTATTATACAGAAGGCATTAAAGAGAACAATCAACATATCTAATTCTTCGAAATATTAATAAACGATAAAAAACTAGAAAAATATATTGTTTAGGGCTAATATTGAAAAGATTTTGTTCACTTATGCAGGCCATAGACGGGGAGAAAAACGGCCGATTTTTCTTTTAAAAACGAAAAATCGGTCGTTCAAGCGGCCGACGTTACCACCAATGGTAAAAAAAAATCGGCCGATTTTCATCCCATCTACAGCCGGCAAAAAGTGTCCTTGCAGAGAGCTCTGCTATTTCTTTGACAGTTCTTTGACAGTTCCTTGACATTTACAGAGGTTGCAACAATGTATCTATTTGTATCCATTTAGGATACAGATGTTTTTATTCGGAAACAAATAGATACAATGTTGCAACCTCTGTAAATATCAAGGAACTGTCAAAGAAATAGCGGAGCTCTCTGCAGGGACACTTTTTGCCGGACTGGAATTCCTCTTATTTTTCATCCTTCTTCTTCTTCTCCTTCTTCATCATCATCCTCTTCTTCTTCATCATCATCATCCTCTTCTTCATCATCCTCTTCTTCTTTTTCTTCATCATCATCATCATCCTCTTCTTCTTCATCATCATCATCCTCATCTTCTTCTTCATCATCATCATCCTCCTCTTCTTCTTCTTTTTCTTCATCATCATCATCTTCTTCTTCGTCATCATCATCCTCTTCTTCTTCTACATCATCATCCTCTTCTTCTTCTACTTCATCATCATCCTCTTCTTCTTCTTCATCATCATCCTCTTCTTTTTCTTCATCATCATCATCCTCTTCTTCTTCCTCTTCTTCATCATCATCCTCTTCTTCTTCATCATCATCCTCTTCATCATCATCACCAGCATCATCCTCTTCTTCTTCTTCATCATCATCATCCTCTTCTTCTTCATCATCATCATCCTCTTCTTCTTCTTCTTCTTCTTCATCATCATCATCTCTTCTTCATCATCATCCTCCTCTTCTTCTTTTTCTTCTACTTCTTCATCATCATCATCATCATCCTCTTCTTCTTTTTCTTCTACTTCTTCTTCATCATCCTCTTCTTCTTCTTTTTCTTCATCATCATCCTCTTCTTCTTCTTCTTGTCATCATCATCATCCTCTTCTTCATCATCATCCTCTTCTTCTTCATCATCATCATCATCCTCTTCTTCTTCTTCTTCATCATCATCATCCTCTTCATCATCATCTTCATCCTCTTCTTCTTCCTCTTCTTCTTTTTCTTCTTTTTGTCTTCCTCTTGCAAGTCACTGCTCATGCGCAGATTTTTTATCGGTAAAAAATCGGCCGTTTTGCCCATTATTGCCGCGAAAATCGGCTGATCGGCAAAATCGGCTGATTTTTTTTCCAACTTTACCGATAAAAAAAAACGGCCAAAATACCGAAAAACGGCTGAACAAATAGCCCACTGACGATCCGAAAATCGGCCGATTTTCGACCCATCTATGGCCTGCATTAGGACCTGCCTCCCTTCCCAAGTATGTAGGATGACAAACAGCTGAAACTGGTCAAATGCAGATAAACTGCACCTGTAATACATTTTTAATGATCTCAGAAGCAACTCAAACTGATGTCAAAAGCTCATTAAGGGTCCTTTCACGCTGGCGATCAGTTTTATTATCAGTTCAGTCATGGTTTTTCAAAGAAAAAAAGGAACAGTTTTCGTCAGTTTACATCAGTCTTTTTATCAGTTACTTGTCAATTTCTCATCAGTTCCTCGTCAATTTCTCGTCTGTTTTCACATCAGCTTTCTACATCCTTTACCAATGCAAAAACAGACTGCAAGTCCATTTTCATCCATTTACATCCGTTTTTCATCCATTACAGATTTTCTTATGGAAGAAAAAAAGGCTTTTCTTCCGTTCAAAAGAATGGATGTTAATGGATGTGGAGATTAACTGATGCAAACAGATGATCATCCATTTACATCCACTAGTTCATAGAAATACATAGGTGTCTGTTTTTCATCTGTAAATGGACAGATGAAAAACTGGCATACAGAACAACCATGTGAAAGGACCCTGAGGCGTTAAAAGGGCTTTATCAGCAACTGTTGTTGTTAAACAGTGCATTGTATAATTGAAAATCAACAAAAGTAGGTAGGTTTTAATCTCATACTGTACTTGCCAACATCCCAATTTGTACATTAGTGGTTCTCAGGTTTTTCCAGCAAAATTCCCCTTTGTAGGCAGTTGAAAGTTCATTACCCCCCACCCTAACTTTACATATTTTATAACCTGGAAAAAAATGTGCAGTTACTTGGCAAGCTATAAAATGTCATCAGTTTCCACAGTGAACTTGCACTCCTCATTCACAAAACACCTTTTTACCCCTCGTTCACAGCTCACCTCTGCATGCTTCATCCAAAGCTCACCCTTGACACCCCTTATCCACCTCTTACCTCTGAACCCCTTGCATCCCTCTTCCACAGCTCACCTCTGCATGCTTCATCCAAATCTCACCCTCGACACCCCTTATCCACCTCTTACCTCTGAACCCCTTGCATCCCTCTTCTACAGCTCACCTCTGCATGCTTCATCCAAATCTCACCCTCGACACCCCTTATCCACCGCTTACCTCTGAACCCCTTGCATCCCTCTTCTACAGCTCACCTCTGCATGCTTCATCCAAAGCTCACCCTCGACACCCTTACCTCTGAACCCCTTGCATCCCTCTTCCACGGCTCACCTTTGCACCCATTGTCAAAAGCTCACTGGCTGGATGCCTCTTCCTGCAATTTCCTCCGCACACCTCTGCATCCCTATTCCAAAGCTTAATATTGCACCCCTTTTCCATTCCTCTTCAACTGCTCATCTCTGCACCCCAGCGATACAACTGTTGACACATTTTTTTACCTGAAAAAAATGTCTTGACTTTACAACCACTCTAAGATACTTTGGCTTAGTAACACTCTAATAAATATTTTTCCAGGGTTCTTACTTTATGGAGTCATGTTGCTTCCCTATAATCTTGTCTGTTGTTTTATTAATTTCTAGGAAAGTATATTAAAAGTAGTATTAATATAAGAATATTTGAGTCAATATTAGATACTGTTTTTTTCAGAGGTAAAACGACTAGCTGACAAAGAAGATTGGGTTGTTGATAACGAAGGCTTAACATCTTTGGTAAGTAAATTTTTTAAACATGTTTATTTTCTTGCTATATAAACAGCATCAATTTCAATACATCAGTTAACATGCAATTTGCCAAATACCACACTGCCCCCCCTCCCCCCACCCTACTACGTAGGCTGAATAATGGCCTGCTATCAGTATTACCATTTTGAGGACCACTTTATATGGAGTGCATTTTTTTAAAAGCCCAACTCCTGGATTATTCTGCCTACTTACAGAAGAAATCCTACACATGTTCAAACAAAGCCACTGTATTATTTTTTTTCTAAAACACGTACTTTGTGAGATATCCTTTATTCCTTGGCTGTGATGTTGTCATTGTGCTCAGATTACATTTCATGTCCTCTAGCCTTTGTGGGAGGATTCAGTACAGAAGCAACGTCACTTCTTATGTCTTCTTCCCCACATAGAGTAGACTATATTTCCCAATAGCCCATGCGATGACACTCCCTGCTCTGTATGCTCACCATGTGCTTTGTGAACAACAGTATAAAGTCTTCTCTGTTCCTCCACCAGTCTAACATTCTCAATGCCCCCCTATTGCAGCCAACTGTGTACACTCACCATGGTCTGTGAACAGTGTTGTGTTTCTGATTTGTACTCTCGTCAGTCAAACGCTACCTTACAGCATTCAGAGGCAACCATGCTGCCATGTAATGCGTTCTCTTCAGACCTCAGGTCAGCACCTAACAAGGAATGTTTAGCCTGTGCAACTTACCCATGTAGTGTGTGAACTGCACCAGGGAGATGGATTTGGCAGGTAAAAAAAATGTGCATTTTTAATTTTTTGTTGTAGGAACCTGGAAGGCATTGCACTAGCGATCAACAGGTCGCCAATGTCATTCAGGACTCCTGCAGACCTGTCATTGTATCTGATACTTACTGACAGGAAGCACAGTGGCCGAATGGTTAACACTTCCACTTTGAAAACACATTAAATCTCAATGGGGAAAAATATCATGCTGGATATCTATACTTCTGAAAAATGCTTAATATCCCAAGTATAAATACAAATATAATAAGTGCTCAAAACAAAAACAAAAAACACACAAGTCCCAAAATAATAAATGAGTCCTTCAAAATATCAGTCATTCAAAATCTCAAAATTAACCTCCAGGTGAAGACAGCCTCCAAAGTATATTCTGAAACCAAAAAAAACTCAAAAAAAAGAAAGTAAAACGCACATAGTGTATTATCCTTAACTTGAATTATTAATTCCATAACGCATGTGATTCACACAAAAACACTCGTGATCACTATATGGTAAAGTGAATAGATGTGTAAACACGTGCCCGTGAAACAATCTAGTGCTAAAAAACTGTGAAAAACGTGTCCACTTCTAGAGTGTGCAAAATGGATACCCTTACCAAAAAAATATGTAAACGCAAGCTTAGTAATCCTCCAGGCAGGGTACTGATATATAATAAGTTCCTCCAGAGGGATCTTCACAGCCACAGTATTATACTCCTCTCCACATCAGTCTCCAAACGATGCCCACCATAAATGAAACCACAATAGTGTAATTCCGTAAAAACTTAAACAGAATATACTTTATTTATGTGCTTATATATATCTTTATCTTTAAAATTACCATCAAACAAGAAATCAGCCCTGCCAGACCTCCGGAAATCCTCAGCAGATCCTCTCCTGTGTCTCAAATAGAGATTTCCAGGATCCAAAATGGCTGCTCGATCACTTCCGTTTCAGCTGTGCGTCTGACGTCACTTCCCTTTGACATGTTTCGTCAATTAGACTTAATCATAAATCGTTTTTTGCTTTTGTTTTGAGCACTTATTATATTTGTATTTATACTTGGGATACTAAGCATATTTCATAAGATTATCACACTTTTTGGGGTTTAAAGTGTTTATATGCGTTTTGGGGAAGTTTGTTAATAAGGGAAGGGTACACCGTATTTGATTGTCATTATTTTGCACTAGGGGGGTTTATTTGTTTTTATACTTGGGATACTAAGCAAACCTCATAAGATTAGTACACTTTTTGGGGTTTAAAGTGTTTATATGCGTTTTTGGGGACGTTTGTAAATAAGGGAAGGGTACACTGTATTTAATTGTGGATATCTATCCTGATATGGATGGGGTAATGTGTTGTTAGGAACATAAGGGTACCCCATGATTTGATGGAAATGAAATTTATCAACCTACAGAGGACTGAATTCAAAGACACCCAGAAAATCAAAGTGAAAAAATGATGCAGCAGGCTAGTCCATTTTGCTGAAATTTTATTGCAGCAACTCAAAATGTTACTCAGTAGTTTGTATGGCCCCCACTTGCTTGTATGCATGCCTGACAACATCAGGGCATTCTCCTAATGAAATGATGGATGGTGTCCTGGGGTATTTCCTCTCAGATCTAGATCAGGGCATCTCCAAGCTCTTGGACAGTGTGAGTTGCAACCTGCCGTTGTCGGGTGAACTGAAACATGATATCCCAGATGGGTTCTATTGGATTTAGGTAAGGTGAGCGTGGGGGCTATTCAGTGGTATCAATTCCTTCATCCTCCAGGAACTGCCTGAATACTCTCGCCACATGAGGCCGGGCATTGTTGTGCACCAGGAGGAACCCAGGACCCACTACACCAGCGTACGGTCTTACAATGGGTCCAAGGATTTCATCTCGATACCTAATGGCAGTCAGGGTGCCATTGTCTAGCCTGTAGAGGTCTGTGCATCCCTCCATGGATATGCCTCCCCAGACCATCACTGACCCACAACCAAAACGGTCATGCTGAAAGGTTGTTACAGGCAGCTTAATGTTCTCCACGGCTTCTCCAGACCCTTTCATGTCTGTCACATGTGCTCAGAGTGAATCTGCTCTCAGCTGTGAAAAGCACAGGGCACCAGTGGCGGACCTGCCAATTCTGATATTCAATGGCAAATGCAAGTCGAGCTCTATGGTGCTGGACCATGAGCACAGGGCCCATTAAAGGACGTTGGGCCCTCAGGCTACCCTCATGAAGTCTGTTTCTGATTGTTTGGTCGGAGACATTCACACCAGTAGCCTGCTGGAGGTCATTTTGTAGGGCTCTGGCAATGCTCATCCTGTTCCTCCTTATACAAAGGAGCAGATACCGGTCCTGCTGATGGGTTAAAGACCTTTTGCATCTCGGTGCAGGTCTCCTAGATAACTGCCTGTTTCCTGGAATCTCCTCCATGCTGTTGAGACTGTGCTGGTACACACAGCAAACCTTCTGGCAATGGCATGTATTGATGTGCCATCGTGGAGGAGTTGGACTGCCTGTGCAACCACTGAAGGGTCCAGGTATCACCTCATGCTACCAGTAATGACACTGACCCTAGCCAAATGCAAAACTAGTGAAAAACAATCCGAAAAGATGAGTAGGGAAAAAAATGTCAGTGACCTCCACCTGTAAAACTATTCCTGTTTTGGGGGTGATCTCATTGTTGCCCATCTAGTGCACCTGTTGTTCATTTCATTAACACCAAAGCAGCTGAAACTGATTAACAACCCCCTCTGCTACTTAACTGACTTGATCAATATCCCAGGAGTTTAATTGTCTTGATGCTATACTCTGATTAAAAAGTGGGCCTTTCATTTTTTTGAGCCATTTATAACAGCAGGTGCTGAAGAACAGCCCTCAGTATCGTGGGGGACTCTTCCCATTCTGTGTAGTCTTTTTACTTTACCCATAGTGCTTTGGGAATCTATTGCAATGGAAAAACAGAATGGTTGGCCGCACAAACAGCAATGTGGTGGATGAAATCCTTTATTGGAATCCTTTACATGCAATATAAGAACATGACAGCTCCGAGACAGGACAGAGGAGCAGTAGATATGTTTCACATGAACACGTGCTTAGTTATTACTAAACGCGTCTACTGCTCCTCTGTCCTGTCTTAGAACTGTCATGTTCTTATATTGCATGTAAAGGATTTCATCCACCACATTGCTGTTTGTGCGGCCAACCATTCTTTTTTTCCATTGCATCTGTGATCATGGATCAGTCTAGCACCTGCGTGTCTGTGGAGGGGTTATGCAGATTCGGCACTCACCTGGAGTGGATCTTTTGCTCTTTCATTTGTGAATTTATTGTCATGTATTATATGTGTGTGTAAAAATGTATATATGTATAAACGTTACATAAAAAAAAATTCAATAAAAAAAATGTGTGCCCCCTTAACATTGTAATTGCAGATCGCAATTATATGTATACAAAGGAGCAGCTATGTTTAGTCATTACATATGCATGTTCTGCTTTCTGCTCGATAGTACTGACAGTGGTAGTGGCTTGCTTTCTTCAGTTTAACTGAAGCCTAATTGATAGGTCTTTCAGACAAAATATATATTCTCTCTTTGTAACTGAGAAATTTTTTTCACCAGTCATTAATGAGCAAGGCTGATCGACTTTGCCTTATATACAAGTATACAAGACATAATATATACACATCTTTATGTGAATTGAAATGTAGTACAGTATACACAAATAATTACAATAATAAATCAAAATGCACCATAGTATTGCTTTAATATCTGTTGAACAGTACTATGTTTATGAAAGAGAAAGACTTTATGAAAGAATAAGACATGGGTTGATGGGCAGCACAGTGGCTAAATGGTTAGCACTTCCACCTGGCAGTACTAGGGTCGTTGGTTCGAATCCCAACCACAGCTACACCTGCCTGACGTCTGCATTTTCTCCCTGTGCCTGCGTGGGTTTCTTCCAGGTACTCCGGATTCCTCCCACACTCCATAGACATGCTGGTAGGTTAATTGGATCCTGTCTAAATTGGCCCTAGTATGTGTATGTATGAATGTGAGTTAGGGACTATAGATTATATGCCCCCTAAGGGTTAGGGACATGTATGAATGTACAGTATATACAGGTGAAACTCGAAAAATTAGAATATCGTGCAAAAGTATTTATTTCAGAAATGCAACTTAAAAGGTGAAACTAATATATGAAATAGACTCATTACATGCAAAGCAAGATAGTTCAAGCCGTGATTTGTCATAATTGTGATGATTATGGCTTACAGATCATGAAAACCCCAAATCCACAATCTCAGAAAATTAGAATATTGTGAAAAGGTGCAATATTCTCGGCTCAAAGTGTCCCACTCTAATCAGCTAATTAAGCCATAACACCTGCAAAGGGTTCCTGAGCCTTTAAATGGTCTCTCAGTTTGGTTCAGTAGGAATCACAATCATGGGAAAGACTGCTGACCTGACAGTTGTGCAGAAAACCATCATTGACACCCTCCATAAGGAGGGAAAGCCTCAAAAGGTAATTGCAAAAGAAGTTGGATGTTCCCAAAGTGCTGTATCAAAGCACATTAATAGAAAGGTTTGTGGAAGGGAAAAGTGTGGAAGAAAAAGGTGCACAAGCAGCAGGGAGGACTGCAGCCTGGAGAGGATTGTCAGGAAAAGGCCATTCAAAAGTGCTGGGGACTTTCACAAGGAGGGGACTGAGGGCTGGAGTCAGTACATCAAGAGCCACCACACACAGACGGATCCTGGACATGGGCTTCAAATGTCGTATTCCTCTTGTCAAGCCGCTCCTGAACAACAAACAACGTCAGAAGCGTCTTACCTGGGCTAAAGAAAAACAAAACCTGGTCTGTTGCTCAGTGGTCCAAAGTCCTCTTTTCTGATGAGAGCAACTTTTGCATCTCATTTGGAAACCAAGGACCCAGAGTATGGAGGAAGAATGAAGGGGCACACACTGCAAGATGCTTGAAGTCCAGTGTGAAGTTTCCACAGTCTGTGTTGATTTGGGGAGCCATGTCATCTGCTGATGTTGGTCCACTATGCTTCATTAAGTCCAGGGTCAACGAAGCCGTCTACCAGATTTTGGAGCACATCATGCTTCCTTCCGCAGACGAACTTTATGAGCGATGCTGACTTCATTTTCCAGCAGGACTTGGCACCTGCCCACACTGCCAAAAGCACCAAAACCTGGTTCAATGACCGTGGGATTACTGTGCTTGATTGGCCAGCAAACTCGCCTGACCTGAACCCCATAGAGAATCTATGGGGCATTACCAAGAGAAAGATGAGAGACATGAGACCGAACAATGCAGAAGAGCTGAAGGCCGCTATTGAAGCATCCTGGTCTTCCATAACACCTCAGCAGTGCCACAGGCTGATAGCTTCCATGCCACGCCGCATTGAGGCAGTAATTGCTGCAAAAGGGGCCCAAACCAAGTACTGAGTACATATGCATGCTTATACTTTTCAGAGGTCCGATATTGTTCTATGTACAATCCTTGTTTTATTGATTGCATGTAATATTCTAATTTTCTGAGATTGGATTTGGGGTTTTCATGAGCTGTAAGCCATAATCATCACAATGATGACAAATCACGGCTTGAACTATCTTGCTTTGCATGTAATGAGTCTATCTCATATATTAGTTTCACCTTTTAAGTTGCATTACTGAAATAAATGAACTTTTGCACGATATTCAAATTTTTCGAGTTTCACCTGTATATGTAAAGCGCTGCGTAAATTGATGGCGATATATATATATATATATATATATATATATATAAGTACCTGTAAAAAATAAATAATCTCCTTTTGGGTCTGTTATGCTGTCCCTGACTTTGTGCTTCAGATTCTGCAGCGTCACTGCATGCTATGTGCAGCATTTTGTTATGGTGTTTTTTCTTTTATAGCCATCTCACTTTGAGCAGTGTGTTCTCCAGTCCTTGCAGTCACTAAAAGGAGTTTTGGAATGCAAGCCTGCCGAAGCCAGTGTAAGTATTATGTTTTTAATGTAGGTATGATAGAGACAAAGCATGCAAAAAGAGTTTGTAAGGTCGCATATAGCAGCGCCAAATTTATTTACGTAATCCACCTCAGTAGATAAGGCGAAGAAAGATTGTGGTGAAAATTCACCAGTAAATGTATATAATATCACACTGTAAACATTTCCCCTGATAGGCTTTGGATTTGTTATGCAGCATTTGTAAGTTTCCCAAGTGTTTGCAATGGTAGGGGGGGTGTCCACAGGACATTCATGAAAGGTAATTAGCATAAATCTCTGCCTTTCTTTGAAAGCATTGATACATTACTATCAATAAATATAAGAGAAGTGCAATTATACATATAAAATGTTCAATATAACTATACATAGGTAGTGTAATCATGAGTGTTTAGAAATACCCTCTTACTTGTCACAAGAGTAGTTGTGCCCATTGGAAGAGTTCTCTTCACCTGCAGTTTCAGTGAGAACTATAAAAATTTTGGTTTCGTGTCATTTTCTGTCCTGGAAACAATAGTCACCAAGACAATTAAGGAGGATGAAACTGACCAGCAAGGGAGTAGGCAACAATAAACTCCTGACACTTTCTTAATGATCCTTACTCAAGCTAGAAGTTAGAGATTCACATTAATGTTAATTTTGCACAGTGGAAACATTAGAGATTTTTTGGACAATGTGATATTTATGTTAAAATCCTTAAGAGGATTCTTCTTCTTTAAGAGCACTATTTATTAATGGTGAATAATGCATTTAGATTAGAGAAATGCTCTCACAGAGTACAAAATTTTGGGTGCAGTGTTGACCAGTGGTGTCCCTAGGGGGGTGCGGGCCGCACGGGTGACACCATCACAAGGCTTGCAGCAGCAGGATGCCAGCAGAGCTTCTGGGCCCTGTGAAGGTCCTGGCCAGTTATTGGGGTGATCCCAGATTCCCGGCACAGTGACAGCTGCCTCCGGTGTAGTGGTAAAATGAGTATCCTGGACCTGTGAAGATATGTATCCCCTGAAGCAACTGCGCATGTGCCGATTTCAGGCTGAAGAAACTGATCGCCGATCTCCAACTTTAGCACAGAGCTGCCACAGTTAACCCCTTACAGGCTGCAAACTGCTGAAGCTGATCCCGCGGATCACAATGGGTTGCAAGATCAGTTAACTCCGTATAGGTTCAACCTATATGGGGTTAACTGATCTTGCAACCCATAGTGATCCGCGGGATCAGTCAGCTTCAGCGGTTTGCAGCCTGTAAGGGGTTAACTGTGGCAGCTCTGTGCTAAAGTCGGAGATCGGCTTCTTCAGCCTGAAACCAGCACATGTGCAGTTGCTTCAGGGAATACATATCTTCATTTTACCAGTACATAGGCATCGCTCTTTCCTCTCTGGAGGGGTGACACCACGTGTTACCACACCTGGTGACACCAACCCTAGGGATGCCTCTGGTGTTGACCATAACTACAGAAGAAAAAGATTTGGGGCCACTTATTTCAGCTGCAAACAAATAAACAGTGTGGCCAGGAAGTATAGAAAGCAAATAGAATTTTGATGTGCATCATCAGAGCTTACCAGGAAGAGGATTGATATCCCAAATGCGGTATATAAAGCTTTAGAAAACTGGGTCCATTTCTGGACACTTGTCTTACAAATAGATATCGATAAGATAGAAGGAGTCCACAAAAAGCCAACACAAATGGTGTAAAGTATGATGGATAAAATATATCAAGAAAAACTGCAGGAAGTTAATATGTGCAGCCTCGAGAAAAGACGCGGGGGTGTCGGACAGGAATTAAACCTTTACATGCGTTAAACTTGTGAATAACCTTCAGGAAGGAAGTATTTTCAAGATGAAGCTAAGATCAAGAACAGGGAGATTAGGTCAAAGTAGCAGGGGGAAAGTACAAAACTTACTTTGTCCACCAGGAACAATAATCACATATATTATACCTCACTTATCAAACTATACTAGAATGAAGTACTTTAATCTCAAGTTAGCCTACACAAAGGTTATCACAACCATTTAAAGCAATTTCAAAACACTTAATCTTTATGGCTATCCTATGAATTTGGGGCCAGCATATACCTGTACACAAGTCATAGATACATTGGTTGTCATGGTATAGAGTTGTGTCTTTACACAAAAACATTGTTCTACAAAGTAGAAATGTCTTCAGATCTAGAACCTCTTTGAACAGAATGTAATTTCCAAAATGGCCCCTAATAACCGGGTGTGCAAAAGTGTTAATAAATCTTTAGGGATCCTTCAAAGAAGAATATGGATATTATCAATATGTGTCCCAAGATTTATTGATAGTGGCTCAGAAGTGTACTAGGTGGGTACAGGTCCCTTTGGGCAGCTATTATGACATATAGATAAAATAATACAAGCTGATTAAGGGCTGTGGAGCTAAAAACCCATTTATCTAGATCACATTTGTGGCTTTCAGTTATAAGGTGGGTATATGTCACTCCAGAACTTAGCCACAGTATTAGAATGGAACTCACCCCACAACACCAAATAGTGTGAGACAAACACAAACAGGAGAGCATATAATTACTGATTATAATGTCACTCCTGTAATGGGATGAGCAGTCACACCGAACCACAAAGGTGTGATGTAAAATTGCATAAAAAGTATCTTTGGCAGATCCTTAGCTCAGCACATCTATATCTTTAACATTGTGGAATGTAGTGCATACTTAGCTCACCAAACAAGTACGTAGGATAATGATGTCTCTATGTGCAGATGTTGTAGATCTATATCAATGGCTCATAATCAAGCCTGTTGTATATAATACAGTGATACAAACCCTAGATTTTACTGTCATATATATTGCTGTTAGAATAGAATATGATTTTAGAAATAATTCATACATCTCTAGTATAGTATATTGAACATTTTGTCTGGTACACTATTAAAGTTGTATACTACTTAAAGGGTAACATCACTCTTGTGGAAAAAAATATTGCAAATATAAAAAAAAAATAGCATATACAATAGTGACACAACCCATACTGTAATATAACGTTAATTAAAAAATGTATTTCATTTCAAATGGCAGCCACTGTAATTTTCTGTAAATTGCATAGCAATATGGCAACCTGGAGGCATTCTTTACACAGATGGTATCCAGAACACCCCCTCTGCCCTTCCTCTCTAGAAATGTTATCTCCTGCTTGTGTGATTGGCTCACTAATTTTCGCAGAAGTCTGCACTAAGAAGCTAATCAGATTTTGGGCATCCTATTCAACGAAGATTTCAGGTTTGGTGAGATACTCCCAAAGGAGTAATCACTTCTAAGGTGATTCAGACACTTCCACTTTCCTCTTTAGAGCCCTCCAAGTGCAGCAGCTGATCGGTAATTCGCTGTGCATATTGACACAAACAAACAGCTGTTTCTTCAGTATAACAGAAGGTAGAAATCTGCAACAAAGCTTGTCAAATTCACTGCAATGTACATCAGGGGTGCTCAACATGTGGCCCTCAGAACTCTCTGATGTGACCCTCGACTTCAAAGTAAATGCAGGAGTTTCCGTGCACTTTCCAAAAAGGCACTACACTTGCAAGATATAATGGAAATCTATAGCAAAGCACAGCTAACCTGCAGGAAAGCCACAGGTGAACTGGGTTGCACGTGTGGCGCAAGCAAACTGCAGAAAATCAGTGTGAAAGCTGCCTTTTAGGGGTGTCAGGACAGTGAGGGCTCATTAACATTTGCGGTTTGGGTGGCATGTGACTTTTACCACCCCCCCCCAACCACTGGTGTAGTGCCAGGGGTTACAATGGTGACCCCGCTCCATGCTCCAGGCAGCCACTGTGGCCTCCCTGTCACATTTTGTTTTACAGCTAGACAGGAGGGGTGGTGGGGCTGACATATATAGCAACCGATCCTCTCCATTTTCTTCCTGCAATCAATGAAAGCCGTCTTCTCCTCCTCTCCCTCCTGCCGGCATTCAGCAGCTGCAGGAGGAAAATGTTCATTATGCAATTTAAAATAAAAAATTTTAAATTCTGTACCATTTAATTTCATTGTGTCTCACAACTGGTTACCAGATCACTTAAGTGGCTTTCACTCTTCAAAAGGTTGAACATCCCTAAAGTACATAGTTTAAAAAAGTATGGGATGTTTTTTTTTGTTCAAATCATACTAGGTGGATGCAGCATTGCTCCGATGCTGCATTTGTCCCCCGCCGGATCTAAGTGTAAGAACTGAACGATTACATGACATGATCGCTGAATTCTCACCGCCGCTGTGAGCAGAGAGCGGTGACTGTCAGCCACCGCTTTCTTCTCTGACCACTCCCCCACCCACACTCACTGGAGCTCTGGACTTTAGAGGGGGAAAGAACGGCTGGCTCAGGCTTTCAGCGCCTCGCTGAGAGGCTGAGCTAGGTGCCACTCCAGACTCTGGGGTGGATCCCAACTTTAAAGTTGGGATCTTTTCCTAGCTTGCACCGGCTTAGTGATGTCAGCCAACAATGGGCTTCGGCCTGCTGTCAGCTGAAAACAGTTCACGGGTGCAGAACGAAGTGCACTCCTGTGATTCACAGGAGTAGTACAGCCAAAAGAGCTTTGGCTGTACTTAAAGCTGGAGTGGAATGGTTTTTTTTTCTCAACGAAAGTGGAGTTTCTGTTAAAGTATTGATCAAAAAGATTGAAAAAGCACCACTAAATACACAAAATTGAAAAAAGCTACAGAAAAATATTGAAAACCTTGAGTGTTTTCTAGTTCACAGTAATAGAAAATACAGTAATTTGGTGTCCATTTTAACTATATGTTAATGATATGCATATTTTGCAAACTGATGAGTTGCTTTTTCTAGTGCTGGGTTCATATAATGGTCTGCCACAAATGCTTTTGTCATTTTATACAGATATTTCAGCATCAGAGAACACAGGATGATGTGTGCCTTCTCTGTATCAACATCATACAGGTGAGTGCAAATTAATTACTATAGTCAAAATTGTTCCCTGCCCTTTATCTGCAAAGCTTTTTTTTCCCCAGTTTCTCCATTCCTTCTCTAATAGGTTTTATGTTGTGTGGTGTTTTTTTTTTGTGTGTGTATATATATATATTTATTAATAACTGATCCAAATCATCAGCATTCAAGAACAAGAATGCTGTCAATGTAATTTGATCATTCTCTCGAGCAAGGGTTCTCAAATTTTCCAACTTGGCCTTCAGCTAGCAAACACCTTTAAACCCTAATGTCAACAAGGGCACAATAGGAGTGTGACTTGTTGGGTTTATATAAATGAGTACTGCATAAGCTGTGATTAGTATTAATTGGCGTGGCGAAGTATGGCCTTCTTTCAGTCCTTGCTCAATTTTAGTTACCTACCCGCAACTTCTCTTGCCTCTGCCCTTAGTAAAATTGTACGTAATTAGTTATAAACTACCGTGGACACTGATATGATTCTAATTTACACTTACAGTGTCAAATGCTTGATTTGATACTGCAGATTTTTGTTCATAAGAAGCTACATGTTGGGCTTGCAGCTATGTACATCCCTGCAAACAATGAACGATAAAGGCCTACTATCTCCTTTGTCCTCTTAGAAACAGCACAGTTGAAATAGTAACATACCTTGTAGTAATCTATCAAATACCAATGTGACCAACAGGGTCAAGGGCAGCTTATCTGGTAAACATGTCTTATCCCCATCCACCAATAAAAGCTGTTCATTTTAGTAGACAAAATACCTTTGTATTGTGTGCGTGAACAGATTTAGTAAAATGACACATTTTTATGTGGCTGTTTTATTGATATTGTTTATAATAAATGTGTAAGCATGCCTGGTTGAAGATTCTTCAAAACATGTTTTTGTCTATTTTTAGGCCTTTATTTCCACTCTGGAATATCTAAGTACCAAGCCTGACGGAGAAGTGGATACAAAGCAGTATGTATTTAGACAAAAATAGTGTTGTTTATTGCAGACCCAAAATTTCTGTCATTTTTTTTTGCATGTGTTTGTGTGAAATCCAATAATTGTACAAACTAAATTGGCCATTGGAAATCTATGCCTTTTGTAGATCATTTTCCTTACAGTAGAATGTTTCATTTCAAATAATTTTGCAATGTTTTGCAATCCCTTGCCAGACTTATAGGCATCCACAGCCTTCTTTCTGAGGGCCTTATGGGGCTTTTTTTTTGTCTTGGGATGATGGCATCACTCTTCATTAGCAAAGGGAACTCCAGACCCTACATATCTGAGGTGTAAACAAGGTGGGTCCACCTGCATATTTCCTAAGGAGGATCTAACAGTTAGCACATAATCTGGAATACCTAAATATAAATGTAAGGATTTGAAGTGGTGGTAAATGTGGGGGTGTACTTTTTTGTCCATGTGACAAATCTGCATTTTTATTATTTAGATTAGAACAAATATACTGTACCTTGGCAGTTTTATATGTCATTTGTTCAAGTATATCTGTATATATTTACCTTTATCTGTAGGAACTAATATTTGCCTTTTTGAATACGTTGAAAAAGACAAAAAGGTCCATGGGGAGTACTTACTTTTTCACATGATCGTAGAAGATGCAGACTGATCTGTTTCGTACTCTGAACGAATTTGATCTTTTTTTTTTTTTAAATAATAAGCTTGGATTCCCCAGATGCTTCTTTTAATAACACTGCAGAGTACTGAGGTTGCTGTAAAATATATTTTATGTAATAGCTTAAAACTATTTAATAGTTTGTAAAGCAGAAGGCTGTTCATATGTTTCCAAAGCTATAGCCTATTCTTACTCTTCAGTAGCCTCCAGATTTTAGTTTCTCTGCATGAGGGTGCTTAACCAGCCAACACAGCTTTTATAGATGAGAATTTGAAAAAAACATTACTTATACAATATCTGTCTTTCTTAACAATATCTTTTGTCTTAACAATGAACTTCTCTTATTTGCTATCTTTTTGTCTGTTAAATATGCCATTAACCACTTTACTACCACACTATATCTGAATGAGGGCTACAGCATGGTAGACCAGTTCTGGGAAAGCGTCATATGATGTCCATCCAGAATGCGCATGTGATCACTTTGGACCCAGCTGATCACATGACATGGTAAAGGGCCAATCACAGTGACCTTTTGTCACATGATCAGCTGTGTCCAATCACAGCTGATCACTATGTAAATACACAGTTTACGGTTATTGGCAATACTTTTCTCACGCTGTCAGTGTGAAGAAAGTACTGCCGGCAACTGTCAAAGCAGACATCTGCACTGATGATCAGGGCACTGACTGTTTTATTGTTCTTGGGTTTGGATGTATTATATTGTTTAACCACTTACCTACCGGGCACTTATGCCCCCTTCCTGCCCAGGCCAATTTTCAGCTTTCAGTGCTGTCGCATTTTGAATGACAATTGCCCGGTCATGCAACACTGCACCCATATGACATTTTTATAATTTTTTTCACACAAATAGAGCATTCTTTTGGTGGTATGTTCTCACTGCTGGGTGTTTTATTTTTTGTGCTATAAACAAAAAAAGAGCAAAAATTTGGAAAAAAGAAAAGGTTTTGTTTCTAACATTTTTGCAAACAGGTAATTTTTCTCTTTCACTGATGTGCATTGATGAGCCTGCACTGATGGGCACTGATAGGCAGCACTGATGGGCACTGATAGGCACTGATAGGCGGCACTGATGAGATGCTACTTATAGGCAGCACTGATGAGCTGGCACTGATATGCCTCAATGATGGGCACTGATAGGCAGCACTGATAGACGGCACTGATATGTAACAATGATAGGCACTGATAGGTGGCACTGACTGGCAGCACTGCTGTGCAGCACTGATGGGTGGCACTGGTGGGTGGCATGGTGGGCACATGTGGGTGACACTTGTGGGCAACACTGATGGGCTCAGGTGGGCAGCACTGGTGGGTAGCACTGATGGGCACTGATCATCAGTGCCCTGATGATCAGTGCCTATCCGTCCTCTGACAATTGCCGATTATCGGCAGTACTTTGCTCACACTGTGACAGCATGAGGAAAGTGCAGCCGATAACCGGCAACTGCATTTACCGGTGATCTGCTGTGCCGGTGGACACGGCTGATCACGTGGTAAAAGGCCGCTGTGATTGGCCTTTTACCACACCACGTAATCAGCTGTGTTTGTAGGACACAGTGATCATGGAGATAGCCGGGTGCGCACCCCTGGGGGCACGTGGGAGGGCACATTCTGGGAGGACGTCATATCATGTCCTCCCAGAACTGTCCAGCCGCAGTAAAGCCGTCATTTAACTATCTACGGTCGGCAAGTGGTTAAACTGATTGTAAACCAAAAAGTTTTAATTTTTTTAAATAACACGCTTGGCATACTTACCTGCTGTTACATGCCCCCTTTGAAGCCCTCCTGGCTCCTCCCGCCTACCAAGTCCCCATCATAGCAAGCCGCCTTTTATGGGGGTACGCATGCCGCCCTGCTCCCGAGCCCTGCTGTGTTACCACTCCCTGCTCACTGGCTGTGATTGACAGCAGTGGGAGCCATTGGCTCCTGCTGTTGTCTCTGAGCCTACGAGGAGGCAGAGAGAGTGCACAGTACTGGATCGAGATTGGGCTCAGGTAAGTATAGGGGGGAGCTGCTCACAGAAGGTTTTTTACCTTAATGCAGAGAATGCATTAAGGTAAAAAAGACCTTCAGCCTTTAGAATCACTTTAAACAATCCCACAAATATTCCATTTGTTTGTTGTTTTATTCTGTCGTGTTAATAAACTTTTTTTTTTTAGTGTTTCAATGGATGTTTCAACTCCTGATTTATTTGGTAGCATTCACGAAGAGCCAGCAATAACATCTGTGAGTTTTCTTTTCTTTTCATGCAAAACCAAACCCAATAACATTATTGGTTGTTTATAGCAAAATATAGGTATTAATGTGAACGAAAAATAGTGCTAAAGCAATAAACAATCCATATCTTTGCTAGTGTATAATTTTGCTGTATAAAGCTGTACATACAGTATATATACAGTGCTCAGCGTAAATGTGTACACCCCAATAGATTTGTCAGAAAACCTTTACTCTCCTTTCAGAATCAACATCAACACTATACTACAAAATACACCACAAATGCGGGCCAATGGATTGCAAATAAGATTTGTTAATTTGCACACACAAACAAAATTACTCAAGACCATGTTGCAAAAATGAATACACCCCAATGAAAGTCTTAGGAGCAAAGCTAGATTTTAGACAACAAAATCCTAATTAACAAGAATCCAACTACAGGTGAGTCTAATTATTCATTAAACAGGTGTCCAGCAGAAAGTTGATTATAAAAGGGCGTTACTTAACAAAGAACAACCCTCCCCATTTCTGTCTGTCAGCAATGGCACCACATGAAAGAGAAATGTCACAAGGCCTGAGAAAAAAAAATAATTTCATTACACAAGAAAGGTGAAGGCTACATGAAGATCAGCAAAGCTTTACTTATCAGTCAGAATACTGTAGCAAAAGCGACACAAAAATGTACCAAAGATGGAACTGCAAGCATCTCACAGAGACATCCAGACTGTCCACAAAAGTTAGCACCTCAACAGGAGCATCTTCTGATGAGAAAGGTTGAAGAAAATCGCCATGCAAGTTTACTGTAGTTGGCTAAAGAAGTAGAAATACCAACTGGGGTGATTGTTTCCCATGATACAATATGGCATACACTGCAGAGGAATGGCATGCATGGGTGTTGTCCACGAAGGAAGCCTCTTTTAAAGCCCATGCACAAAAAAGCCCACCTAGAATTTGCCAGGGCCCATGCTGAAAAAGAAGAAGACTACTGGGACCAAGATAAATGTTTTTGGAACTGATGGCTTCAAAACTGTATGGCTTCTCAAAGGTGAGGAGTACAAAGAAAAATGCATGGTGCCTACAGTGATAAACGGTGGTGGCAGTGTTCCTCTGTGGGGCTGCATGAGTGCTGCTGGTGTCAGAGAGCTGCATTTCATTGGTCATATCAAGAATTCACAGATGTACTGCTCTATATTGAAAGAGAAGATGCTACCATCACTTCGTGCCTTTAGTCGTCGTGTACTTTTCCAACATGGCAATGATCCAAAACACACATCTAAGGCCACTGTTACATTTCTGAAGAAGAAAATGGTGACAATGATTCAGTGGCCAAATATGTCTCCTGATCTGAACCCAATCAAACACCTATAGAGAATTCTAAAGAGACAAGTTGAGCATCACTCTCCATCCAGCATCCAGGCTCTAAAAGAATTTGTTCTTAAAGAATGGAAAAAGATAGATGTTGCAATATGTCGCCAACTTGTTCATCCCATGCCTAGTAGACTTGGTGCTGTCCTTACAAATCATGGAGGTCATGTATAATACTAGATGTAGTAGTTTTTGTTGTGGGGTGTATTCATTTTTGCTTCAATTAATTTGAGTAAAACTGAAGATTTTGTAGTCTAAGTTATATTATTAACCTTACTTTCATATAATGAAAATGTAAATGTTCTATAAAACTAATTATTGACAAAATTCTGGAAATTTTTCGTGTTCATTGAGATATTGATTAAAATCTTACTATTCAAAAAGGGTGTACTCATTTATGCTGAGCACTGTATATATATGTATATATATATATTTCTTTTTTTTACTATATTAATAGTTCACTGATATATTGACCACTGAAAATTATAGACTGAAAATAGGGTTATGTTAAATGATTGTGTAGCATGTTTAAGTTTTTTTTTTAATTTTACATATATTTCAGTTTATTTTATGTACAATGTATTGCCCATGATATTAAATTAAAAAGTCGAATATAAAAAAATATATATAAAAAAATATATATTTTTAAAAAACTCTCTCTATTTCGGTTTTATATTTGATTTAAAACAAAAGACCTGCCAAGCTTAGATATCTGCTATTTACCAGTTGCTGAATATTTGCAGTGGATTGACCTCATAGTGTTCTTGGCATTAGAAAATTAAGCTTGTGCTTAATAATAGACAGGTACACCTACAGTATATAATCGCACATAATATAAACCTACAAACAATGTGAAAATTCTAAACTGTGAGGAATTAAATATAATGCACAGTTTAATAAAACTGGAGCACACATAATCTGGTGCAGCTGTGCAGAGTAACCAGTCAGTTTCCAGGTTATAATTGTCAAATCTTAATTGAACAAGCTGAAGTTAGAAGCTGATTGGTCACTATGCACAGCTGCACCAGAATCTGTGTGCTCTAGTTTTATTAAATCTGTGAACAAAATACTGTGTAGGAAGTAATGGCAATTGTGCTGTGTATTAGAAGATCTGCTTTTGCAAAAACCAGGTACCCCCCCATTCCCCCCCAAAAAAAACATCCAAAGGTGGAGCAGAAGAGTGGAACTTCCCCCTATGGGAGAAGTTCCGTTTAATAAACAAGTGATAACAAAAGCCTTAGGTAGTCTCAGATTTTCAGGTGTACTTGGGATGTGTTATGTACTTAGGACACTACAACCCAGTGAAATAATAATTTCAGCAGAACCTATACAGTTAATCAAGTATGGAGCCTGTATTGTGTGCCAGTCACCGAACCTCAGAGATGATGGATTATGCCCCCTCTGTCTCTGCATTTTCCTATTAGCACATGCTAAAGACAACTGGTGCACAGGAAGTTGAATTAGAAGATTTTTCATTTCCATTAGGGTGCTCTATCTTTTCTACTACCTAAGGTAGAAGTAGGTTCATGGAGATTTAGGCTGGTCATTAGAATTTTGACCGATTCAAAGGAATTTTATGAAATTCTAATAGTCTCTTAGGTTGTAATCTCCAAAGAGCAGGGCCCTCCTAACCCTGTATTGTTGCTGTATTGTCTCCTTTTTATATAGTAAAGTGCTGAGCAAACTGTTGGCGCTATATAAATCCTGTATAATAATTATAGTCGATGGTCTTCCCAGCTCAACAAAAGTCGATTATCGACTCCGCTGCAGGCACCCTTTATGTCTTCCACTAGCTCCGGCTGTCAGAATAAAATAGCCATTTGTGTGGTTGGAGTTATCTGTTCAGCCCACAGACTGGATGAAATAATTCATTAGTGTATGGCCAGCTTTATGGTCGGGTACAGAGAGAGGACAAGGCAGGAAACTACATTCAGAAGGTCCTGAGCCAAAGGTAGATGCATTTAAAACTGAACTCCATGTAGATATAAATACTTAAATTATTGCAGCTCCGTATTCAGTAATGCATCCCTACTTTGCTAAAACTTTATAATTTGCCCTTTAGAAAGTGGGATTGGGTGTATTTCTACTTGTTTTGTTTCTGCTCCATCCATCCATTCTTGTAGTAAGATAGGCATGAGTTCTGTGTCATGTTTGCAATTTGTTTTAGTGATTTAGTGATTTTTGTCAAAATCATGTCTGATATAATTTTTATAGCACTATACAATAGCTTCTAGAAAAAACTACAAGCAGCTTACTTTATATACTGTAGCTACCCACAGGCCTCTAATTCAGTATCCCCCCATATTTGTCTGTGGGTTTTTTTTTCTCCAGCCAACCAGTGTACAGCTATCTTATGAATCCACAAAGGACTCTGCTTCCTTTAGAAAACTGCTTGAAAACTATTACTGAATAAACTGTTCAGTGGTCTTTTGTTATTGTAAAAGTGTTATTGTAATTTTGGTCGATTACCGTATTTTTCGCTCCATAAGACGCACCTGACCATAAGATGCACCTAGGTTTTAGAGGCGGAAAACAAGAAAAAAAATATTCTGAACCAGTGGACTACAGACACAGTACAGGAATGACCAGAGACTGCGGACATAGTACAGGAGATGACCAGAGACTGCCGACAGTACAGGAGATGACCAGAGACTGTGTATATAGTACATGAGATGACCAGAGACTGCGGACACAGTACAGGAGATGACCAGAGACAGCGGACACAGTACAGGAGATGACCAGAGACAGCAGACACTGTACAGGATGTCTTGGAAATTCGCAGTAATCCCCCATAAAGCTGTGTGAACTTTGCTTACGGCGACTTCAGCTAAACTCCATGATTCCTGCGCCTCCAACTGGTTTATCTCTGTTGAGATGTGGGGAAAATGGAGCTCCCGTTACCCAGGAATGATCACACGACACTCTCAGGTTGCAGTTGGAATTCACTCTGAGACTGGCTCCAACCCCAGCCTCCTGTTTTATTACAAGCACACACACGCCCCCCCCCCCCCACATGAGAGTCAGGTCAATCCCCTCCCACAGAACAATGTATGGGGAGTGTCTGTACACAAAATGTACATCCTGATTGGAGCGTAGCCTTTCCTCTATTATCTATACTGGAAGCCAGTTGAACCAGTCCTCCCCTCCCCCTGGTGGGCTCTCTGTGGAGAGTGAACTTCCCATCCCTTACATGCTATCAGCCTAGTAGTATGTACGTTCTCTGTACAAGTCTCCTTTAGATTAAACAGTGCCAGTCTGTATCTGAATGGGCCCGATACGATCTTTATTAAAACACATCCATCCAGATACAGTTCAGGTCGGTAGTGGCTTGTAAGATATACATGAGCCTACACGCGGAGTTCGCACTGCCTGGCGCCTGGCCATACGAAGTCCATGTGGTACTATGCTGCTGATATGTGAATACAGGCCCGCGGCCTACCGCCGGCGGCATTCGCATATACACGCCGGTCTATAAGCGCAGATCTGCCATCTCATCCATTACCGAGCTGAGTACTGTAATATATACATTGTAAATGCGCATGGCCTAATTGCAGCCTTCAGAGCTTTAATTAAACCACACGAGAGACATATGAATAACACTAATATATGACATATTTAAAGTTCAACCTGTAATACAAAATTTCCATGACAAGGAGATGACCAGAGATTGTGTATATAGTACAGGAGATGACCAGAGACTGCAGACATAGTACAGGAGATGACCAGAGACTGTGTATATAGTACAGGAGATGGCCAGAGACTGCGGACATAAAACAGGAGATGACCAGAGACTGCAGACATAGTACAGGAGATGACCAGAGACTGCAGACGTACTACAGGAGATGACTGACAGCCGGGTGCCCAGTGCACATGCGCGAGAAGCGCTGCACTTTGTGATTGGTCCGGCATCTTCTGGGACCTGTCATGTGTCCCAGAAGACGTCGTACCATTCACAAAGCGCAGTGCTTCTTGCGCATGCGCACTGGGCCGGGAGCCCACACTAAAGATGCCGGCGCGGGAAGACTGCACAGCGCTGGACCGAGGAACAGGTAAGGTTCTGCTGCAGAGCCGGCCGGCCCGGTATTCTGACAGGGTGGCAGCGGTGGGAATACCGGACCAGCCGCTCCATATTCGCTCCATAAGATGCACTGACATTTTCCCTACTTTTTTTGGGGGAAAAAAGTGTGTCTTATGGAGCGAAAAATACGGTAACTTTGCTTAACTACAATTTAAACACACATATGAAAATGCAATACATTTCTGTTTTAAAGGTTTAGTCATTATTTCCTATTTATCGTACCTTATAATATTTTTTATCTAGGTCAGTGGTTTAGATGTTATATTATTTAATGTAGTATCTATTATAGGTCTACTATGAGTATGAGTTCATTTTAAATAGCATTTAAAGATGTAGATGAGCTTGGGCTTCCTACTAACTCCTCACTGACCCAAACTCTGAACACCTACATTTTTGTACTACAGCGTGCTGCAACCTGGCCCACAGCTCATTAGAGTACAAAAACGTGGAAATTGGGAGTTCACGTTAGAAATGAGTTCAGAGGACTCCAAGATCATCTTTATTTATAAACATATGGTCCATGCACATTTTATTGAATCATCATTCAATACATAAAAACATTGTAATTGCATATCATCTGTTTCTTTTCTTAGGAGAAACGACTTTTAATTGTCCTGAGCAATTGCCGGTACCTGGGAAGACATACACTGCTGAACATTGCTGAACATTTTGAGAAGCATGCCTTCCAAGGAATAGAGAAGATAACTCAGGTATACATCTTATTCATTTCCTCTTTTTGTTTGTTAGCTAGATGCTGGTAAGAACAGTTTTGATTTGTAACAAATTACAATTCTGCACCTCCTAATAGGAGTTATCAGCTGCTGTTTGTGGTAAACCCTGCTCCTTCGTTTTGTATCTTAACCTGTAGTTTCTCACTCTACTGTATCATTGTGCTACCTGTGGTTTGGGTACAACAGTCCCTTCATAATAATATGGTAATATAAATCTGAGTGGACATCCATTTCATGAATTTCTTCTGCTGTGGACATGAGATATCTCATTGGATGCAAACCTTGTTTTCGTCACTACAAGAAACATGCACAAACAAAAGTTAACAAACCCAATGTCACAGCTTACTAAGTAAAAGATGCAGTAAAAGAGTCCATTCACAAAGGAGTGCTGCTGCAAACAGATGGCATACGTTGGTGGCAGTGAAAGTGTTAAAGCTGAACTCCAGACAGATAAAATATATCACCGATTTTTGCAGGTACAGTGTGTTCTCATTATAAAAAAAAGCACTAAAGTAGAACTAAACCAAACATTTTTCATTTTGAATGGATTGAAAATGAAAAAAAACTTTAGTTTCAGGGTACAGCTTAAATTTATTTTTAAAAGCAAGTAGTGTAAGTAACTGAATTTTCCTTGGTATCAGTCTCATTTTACAGCAGAAGCTTAGTTTAATTAGGGGGAGAAGCAGCACAATCAATCTTACTACAGTGGTCATGCAGTAACATGCTGACAACAGAGGAGAGCAGAGTGACAGAGGCAAGCTCATATGCTGCTTTTTTACTATGATGTTCAGTCACATACAGTATGAGAGAGGGATGCAATCTTTTTTTCATTACTTAAAGGATAAGTTCACCTTTAAGAAAAAAAACATTATTGCACATTTTTTTGAGGGTAAAAAATGTGCATTTATTATTTTTGCCTGCAGGAGCCTGTAAGCATCGCTGGTGCCATGCAGGTCTCCTGCAGATCTGTCAGTATATCTGCTTGCCGTACGGGATGTACGAGCAAGCACATATACTGATAGGAAGAATGAATGAACTACCACGGCGCTTCACAGCACCATGGTAGTTCATTGAGGACTACAAGCCGACAGCCACTAATGCTGTTGGGACTTGTAGTCTCTCATTCACAAAAGACTGTGCATGAGTGACGTATCCGTGTGGGTGGAGCCACACACAGCCACATTTTTTTTTTTTTTAAACCTGACAGCTAGCGAGGGGGGAGGAGATCCCCCGCTAGCTGTCAAAGTGGGAATCGGGGTGTAACATGGAACATGTTATGAAAGGTGAACTTATCCTTTAAAGTAGAAGTTCACCTTTGGAGCATGTTACACCTGTATTTAGGATGTAACATGGTCCAAGTCCTCTCCAACCCTCCCTGTGACAGTATGCAGGGTTTCCTCTCTAGTTCTCACATATTAAAATAGGCTTGGCTGTGCAGGACTCTGCTCCCAAAACCGCATCCTCCATTCACCTCAATCTGTAAAGGAGAAAACTACAAGTTTTCTGCCACCACAGCAGACAGTTTGCAGTTTTCAGTGAATTGCGAGGACGCTGATTAGCTCCATCACAGTTCATTCACAAGCCCTCCAGCTTTCAAACTGACAGCCCATACACAGATACGGGCAGAAAGCTGTAGGACTTGGCTGCAAGAACTGACATTCTACCCATGATTCACTGATTGCAGGCTCTTTGGGGAAAGATAATAAATGCAATTTGTTTCTGCAAAAATATGTCCATTTATTATTTTTAAATGCAAAAAAAAGTCAGGTCTGGAAGTTGGCTGTGGTGTTGATTAGGCCTGTGTAAATCTAAGGAACAAATGAAGTATGTATCATTTTGGCAAGTATAAAGGAGTTCTCATATACAGTTCTGTGAAAAAGTGAATACATCGCATGGACATTTCACCATTTTTAACAGGAAAACATAAAGAGATCTTCACTAAAACAGTGCCTACTGATAAATGTGAAATACTTGAACAAATAACAGCTAAAATTGACATAGGCTATTCATTCTCTTTGGTCTGTTTACTCTGCTATTGGTGTGTGTGGTGTCATCATGTCAAGATCAATAGAGCTCTCCAAGGGCTCGATCACACTTGACTGTTTTACCAATGCTTGCCAAACGCCCCTATAGCTCATATTTAGGTGTGGTCATTTTAGCTACATTTAAAGAAATAAGTATTCTGTACATCCAGGATCCAATTAGAAACACTAGAAATGGTTAACTGTGTTCAAATGTGGCTAAATCTGCTTTAAACTTTTGTCTGCCAGGCCCTGCACTTTTAAACTGAGGTGGCCAGACCATTTTTGCAATTTTTTACATTGCTTTTTTATTTTTCCCTTACAGCTTTCAGAGTTTGTAAAATACCCCCAAACCATATATTTTCTGAAAGCACATGACCAGTAGAATAAAAAGAAGGTGCTATTAATTTTTACAGCCCCGTGATATTTGTTCAAATATTTATCAAAACAATATTTATGATAAAAATACACTTCATTATTAGCAGATACAAATACAGCACATTTTACAAAAGTCCTGCTAAATTCCTACAAAACAAAAGCTTAATCTGTATTGGGTTAATGAATAACAAATATTTGTAAATGTTAAATTGCACCTTTTTGCGAAATGGTGAAAATCAAAGGTACGCAAAACTGTAAATAACCACATTTTTCAAAAAATGTTGAGGTTTTAACGTTTCTCCTACTGCTTTCAGAGTTTGTAAAAGACCCCCCCCCACCCAGATTTTTTCTGAAAGCAGATGACCAGTAGAATATAAAGAAGGTTCTACAGATAAAGAAGTGTGAAAGAAAGTGTTAGACCCTCATAAAAAAATGGTGGATACCTTTGAGCCTGACCAGGGATTTAACCACTTGAACTCTGGAAGGTTTTACCCCCTTCATGACCAGGCCACTTGTTGCTATACTGCACTGCATGCTTAACCCCACTTGCCAGCCAGCCACTGTAGAAAAAACGGTGACAGGTCGGCACCGCTGGGCAAAATCGCGTTTAAAACTTTATTTTGCAAAACAGGTAGGGGGTGCGCACGCGAGGCGCGTGCCCGCCCTACCCGTCCCGCCGATCGCGGCAGCGAGTGTCAATCACCGGGTCCCGGCCAGTCATTACCCGCCGGGTCCTGGCGATTGCCGGAAAACAGTGACACAGAGCACAGCTGCAGTGTTTACACTGCAGCTCTGCTCCCTGTCAGCTCCAAACACGCTGATCCTGAGAGCGGAGTTTATCTCTCGGGATCCACATGTTCCTGTAAAGCACACACCCCTGCCCCCTAGTAAAACACTCCCCTCACATAGTTAACCCTTTCATTACCTACAAAAAGTTAACCCCTTCCTCCCCAGTGCCATTAGTACAGTGTCAGTTTTTTTTTTTTTTTGCACTGATCACTGTATTGGTGTCACTGGGGATGTCAGTGACTCCAAGTCAGTTCCCCCCCAGTTTCAAAATGTCCGCCGCAGTCCCGCCATAAGTCACATAAATATATATACACATGATTTTCACTCCTGTGGTTTTCATGCCCCTCCCAGATAGCGTCAGATTGCCCGTCAGTACACCAGGCATCACATTTAACCCCTTGATTGCCAGGAGGACACTCATACAAAATAAACCTCCATTGTTAGTATAGTGTCTGAACGAATCAATATCTTTGATCAGATCAGCACTATACCAGCGTTCACATTATTATAGCGTCCTCAAAAACGCAGCGTTAGCGGGATCAGCCCCCGGCACCTGCCAGCACCTGCGTTTAGCCCCTACGCTTACCCTCCCCCTTCTCCCCAAGCAAGTGCAGTGTCAGTAGGTGGGGGGGGGGGGGGTCACTGTCACTTGATACCTTTTGGTGAACTGTCGAGCACCAGCGGCCTAGTACATCCTACTGCCTGATGAAAGAGCGCACCTGGACTCATCTCGTCCTGCACATGCTCAGAGACGCGTCGCATTTTGATGACGTCAGACGCCACATGTGCTGATCCCGGACATCTTGGCGGTCTAGTACAACTTGGTCTTTCACATACCTCCTTGATTTTTGGAGCTGTTTTTCACTGATTGAGGATCAAAGCAATTTATATGCACAACAATTTATCGCCGCCAACCCAAATTCAAACCTTGCCAGACCAGTCGCATGGAAACTCATTACGGTTTCCGAATTTCCATTGTTTTTGGGCCTGACCCTCAACATGGGCATTGCTAAAAGAAATGAATTACGGTTGTATTGGTCCACAGACCCGATTCATCATATACCGTGTTCTCTGCTGCCATGGACAGGCATAGATGAGAGTATAATGTGTTTTATGCATTTCAACGACAATACACTCTGTCATCCTCGGGGTGACCCTGAATTTGATTGGCTCCACAAAATTCAGCCCCTCGCAAATCCCCTTAACTAAAAATTTGCAGATGTCTATACTCTCCAGCAAATAATCTGCGTTGATGAGTCCCTCATTCATTTTTCTGGCCTCCTTGCATTCAAACAATTTCTCCCCAGCAAGCGTGCCAGATATGGGGTCAAGATGTAGAAGACCTGTGAGAGGACAACAGGCTATATATATATGTTTCGGATTTACGTGGGAATAGATAGTCACGTGGAGCCCCCTGGATGCCCAGACTACATGGGGAGCAGTGACAAGATAGTTTGGGACTTTGTGTCATCCTTTTTCCATATGGGGTACCACTTATACGTGGACAATTTTTTATTCAAGCGTGCCACTATTTAGACATTTGTACAATCTTGGAACTGGCGCATGTGGCAAAGTGTGACCTAATGTGTGCCCACCATTAGAAGTGGGTGGATGCAGGGTGGTATATTCTAATGGTGGGCATACCACACACTTTTTCTTGTAGAGATTTCTTCTCTTTTTTTCATTCAGTCCACAGGCTGCATACCAATAAAAAGAACATAGCATATATACCCAACAAGGACCAGCGACATACTGGTACATCACTGGACATTGAATGGTTATACCAGGATG